TGTTCACGTACATCTGTAAATGCACGTCTAGGGCAGCAGTGAAGACTATCAGGATGGGAGGCTGACTGGGCAGGATTGAGTATCCTTTCAGATGGGAAAATTGTGGTGCTGACTAAAGATGTAGCAAGTCTGAGCAATCGTATGATCTATAATGGCCACGCATCTCCAGCAGGCTGCTGTAGTCTATGGAGAGACATCTGTAGTGCTGACTGAAGACACTCTTAACTAGTTGATGGTGATAAAATGTTCAGCTGGTACTGATCTACTTCTGGTAGATCCAGAAGATGATGTCTTTCTAAGGCCTTGACCTGTAAAAATGCCACCTGGAAGTTTGCTGGCTTTTGACACCAACCTGATGTGTTGCTACAATAGGAGTTGCTTGTAGGACAGGCTAGTAATAACAAACTAATCTTTAACCTTCTCAGGGGGAATCTGGTGAAAGCTGAGTGGAAGCCAGGACAGGGCATCGTAGAGCTGCAGTCCCCTGCGGTGAGTCTGCTGCAGAGTGTGCTCAGTGCCATCATCTCCTGCTGGCCGTTGCAGGTTCCTTAATTTGCTGCTTGAAATGGGAGAGAGCCTGCTTGTCAGCAGGGAACAGCCAGAGCCCATTCTGAATTTGTTCTTCTGTTCCAGGGGAAGTTTTGGCACACCATGGGATTCACAGAGCGTGGCAAACAGTGCCTGCTGCCTGAGGAAGCTCTGTTCCTGCTGGAGTGCGTAAGTAGGATACCTGTGCATGGATAGGGACGTTGGGTCCTTCCTGAGTGCGTGGAGGAACTGTAGCAGCTTTAGACTGGTCTGAAATCACTTGCCTTGTGTTGGACACTGCTCCAGTTTGAGCAGCTGATAAACACTTGGTTCTCAAGGAATTGTCTCTAGTGGCCTGTTTGCTGATGAAGCCAGGGGTTCAGATGTTGTACTCCAAAGCAGCCTCTGTGTCATTGACAGCGGGTTAGTTGGATCGGTGGCCAGTTTGTCCAGCTGGTATCGTGTTTAACCCACTCCTATGTCAAATGCGACAGTAGAGGCTAGGAGGGCTTTAGTTGATCTGAATTTCTGTTGGTACAGCTAGTAACTCAGCTCTCTTATCAGAATGAGAAAAGCTGAGGAGCATGTTAGGAATTTTTCTATCGAGATCTCTGTCTGCTTTCTTGCTCTGGGGGCGATGAAACACACATTTATATAGCGATTACTTCTTTACCAAATTCTGTAGGTATAGGGACTTGAACTTCCACAGTCCAGGAAAATGCACTGTCCTGGGAATTTCTGGAATTGAGATCAAAGTATTATCTTCTGTTCCTTGCAGGAGTTAATTGGAATAAAAGGTTTGATACTGAGAAATCCTTTTCCTCAGAACTGGTGTACAGTTAATAAGGACATCTGAGACTGGTCAGTGCCTTCTATATCATAAGTTGACTTCCTTATTCAGTGGTTCATGAGTTCATTAGCACAGTGTTTCTGTGCTTCTCTAAGCAGCTGATAGGAATTAGTGCAAGTCTGTCCAGCTTGGTAGGGCCTCATTTAGGCACTAAATCAGATCTTTCCATGTGAAGGTGGTTGGCATGGGAGGTCCTTACTTAGCAGCCATTTGGCATCTCTTCCCAGTATACATGGCAGAAAGAAATTGAAATGTGGCAGACAGGGGAGTTGAGACCAGGTTGCTTCCAGTGCTTGCAGAAATGCTGGGTAGGGCTCAGTTGGATTTCTTTGCTATAGAGAAGGATATTTTTGTCTCTCCACTGCAGCCTGTGCACTGATCTAAAGGTGAGGTTTTTTCCCGTAGTAAAACTTAAATCAGATTATGGTCGTCTGATGCCATCCCTTAAATCCTAGCTGCAAAAGTAGGGTTTTTTTTTACCTTTGGCAATTCAACAAACAATAGATTGCGAATAAATTGATGAAAATAAATTTATATAGTTGATTGCTGAGTACAAAATCTCTCCCCAGAAGCAGCAGACCTGTTAGATGCCTTCAGCCCATCCCATGGGAGAGGTGTGGTTCCTAGTGTGTTTTTTTTTTCTCTTTGTTTATGAGTAAACACGGTTTTTAAAATAAATAAAAAGAGGTGTTGCCTAAAACTGCCTCCTGGAGGTTAGTTGCTGTTGCCTGGGGAAGCTACCTGTGGAATCACTGGGGCTGCAGTAAATGCTTCTGAGGAGCCACCAATTGATGGCATCAATTTCTCTGCCCTAGCTCTCTCAGTTGTGCTGGTCCTAAATGTTTTTGTAGTTGAGCTGTGTCCAGAGTCACTGAGATCATCGAAGTTAAAGAAAATTATCCTCCAAAGTAATGATTATTTTAATGACTGAGTGTCATGCTCCCAGGTGCATCCTCCAAACAGATGTGGCACTGGGGCAAGAGCTGACAGCTGTGGCTGGGAACTTCTTACCTGGCTGCGCAAACTGGGGCATGGGAGAACTGGGCATGGGAGAGGGACTGTTGAGTAATCCAGGTGGCACATGGAGGGGCATGGATATAATGTGAAGGAGGGTGCTGAGACCAGTGGGAAGAGGCTGGTGTGAGCTTGCATAGGTTTATTCCCTGTGATTCTCGCTACACTGAGCTTTTGCCCTGCAGGGCTCTGTTCAGCTCTTCTACAGAGATCTGCCCTTGTCAATCCAGGAGGCCTACGAGATCCTGCTGTCCCAGGAGACGATGAGCCTGCCACGTTACCAGGTGTGTTGGGACCTCCAGCTATTGTAGGGAGGATGAAGGCAGAGATCCCAGCCTCTGCCACACAACCTCTTCTTGTGGCTCAGAGTAGGACAGTTAGGGCGGGAAGGGAAGTTTTTCTCAGGTTGTCTTCCAGATGATCAGTCCCTGTTTCCCCACCTTTGCTTTGGGTCTGAGCCCTGGTGTTTTCTCCTCTGCCAGTGTCAGAGTGTTTACTCAGTTGTCGCAGAACTGAAGTAAATTGTTTGCTTTTAGAGTAGTCGTTTAACCCTCTCACTTTCCTTTGCTCTAAGGTGTTCAGCCACTTGAAGCAACTGGGTTATGTTGTACTGAGATTCGACCCCAGGTAACCAGCTTCTTTTTTCCACGCTGCTTTCTCCTTTCTGAAGACCCTGGGCAGCTCTGTGCCCACTGCATGGCCCCGGTGGAACGGCAGAGAAGAGGACTTTGACCTTGCATTCCATGTCTTGGGAGGATTAAAGGCTGAAAGTGGCACTCTACCCTTCCTTGCTCCTCTCTCTTGAGGAAGTGATTTGGAACATGAAATGGGGCATGAACTGAGGACCATCCTGGTCCTGCTTGTGGATTTTCTGTGCCTGGAAGAAAAGGGTTTTGTTGCTGTTTTCTGGGGGCTGAGCAGAAGGGTAGTCTCACTGTCCCGCCCTGCTGTCAGCCTCTGTGTTGGTGTCTCCTTACAGCACTGTCCTGTCTCCCTACGAGAGGCAACTGAACCTGGAAAGTCACTGCCAGAGCTCTGGGAAACACCATCGCAAAAGGAGGAGGAGTTCCAGCCCCCGGTAAGGCCCAAAGCCTTCTTCCATATTCTCACAGGTTCTGCAGCTTGGGAACATCATCCTCAGCCCTTGGTGCTCTGGGTGACCTGTCTGGCACAGCTGCTCTTGGCTGTCCCCAGGTAGTGCAGTGCTTTTCCTGAACTCTTTGCAGCGTGCCTTTTTGTTACATCTGTACTTCATGCAGGGTTAACAGGGGTAAACTGCCCCTGAGCCTCCCAGCTGCAGTGCTGAGATGCCAAAATAGAAGGGTAGAGAGGTTAGTGCTGAAGAAACACGTGGCAGATGTCTCCTCTTGCTCTTTTTTAGAGGGAGCACAGACATCACAGTGCACATCTTGCACTCATCTACCCCCTCAGTGCAGCTTACATGGTAGAACTGTGGAGCAGAGAGCATAGTTGGGTGCTGGTCCTTGCACGTGGCCTCTAGACATGTCCAAAATGCAAACAGAACCTGACATAATTAGTGATTTTGCTAATAATTGTGACAGCTTCCAGTAGGTGGCATCATCCTTTAAGAAACAGGGAGGACGAGACTGGTCTGCAAGTCCTTTCCTGCTAACGAGTAAATCGGTGCCTGAGGAGTTAACAAAATTTTAGGAACTGGGAGATAAAACTCTTGTTTTAAGAATTGCCCCATTTTCTCTGGGACCCGGGACTGAATCTCATACCAGTAACAGATGCTGGTAGGAGGATTTTTGCCTGTCCTGTGCTGGTTTGGCTGAAGTTCATAGTGTTTGCATGGAGGTGTTTGGGTGTATATGGGGTGTGTGGAGGCCCCCTGGCAGGTCAGGAGCGTGTGTCTACACATTCAAGGCTGAGATTCTCCTGGGCGTTGAAGTTGAGCCTCATGCGGGACTGCTGAGTTTATTCTGCCTTTGGCATTCACTGCTTGTTCTTGGCCGCCTTTTTTACCAACTCGTTTTGTCACACAAGCAAACGCCCTCCTTCCAGCCAAGAGGTTGTTATCAAGGGTTTGCAGACCTGTCTGGGGTTCCTGCCACCTTTGCCATCCTTCCTTCAGGTTTGGCAGACTGCATTCTTCCAGTTAGCAGGGAGGAGGTAGGATTCAAAGGGAATAACATTCCACCACACACTCTCTCTGTCTTTTACGCTGCTGCTTTTACCTTTAGGTCTCATGAGAAGAAACATAAGGTGTCTGAGGACCTTCCAGAAGCCGAAGGGACCTCTGAAAAAGCTGGAGGAGACTGTGGAGATTCCAACAGCCTTTCCATGGATGAAGAGCCCTTGTCAGAGCAGCCAAAGGAATCAGATGCTGGCAGTGGAGAGCAGGAGTCAAAGCCAGTTCCTCTTGATACAGGACAAAAGGACTCCATGAGCCCCTCCAGGAGCCAGGCTGGAGACCAGAAGGGGAGCAGCACTGGCACCCAGGCACCCCGCTGGGATTTTACCACCATCATCTTGCCAAACGTGGCCCCGGACCAGCCATGCACACATCTGCCCTCACCTGACAGCTGTCTCCTGCCGGAGAACGTGCCAGGGAGGGAGGTTGATGCAGATTGCTGGTGCGTGCGCATCAATCAGAAACAGGAGAAGCTGTCACGGAAGGAAAGGGAGCAGCGAGAGCAGGAGAGCAGGTACAAGAGCAGTGTCAATGCTGACCGGGAGGTGAGACGCTGCTCCAACTGGCAGGAGTACAAAGCGCTTTTGGACCAGAGGAGCCAGCGGAGGGTTTGGAGACGACCACCGCATCTTTGGGACCAAGCTGTCACACCGCTTTTGCGGCCAGATGAAGCTACCTCATCAGGTAGTGGCTCTGGGAACTTAACAGGAACCCCCTTCTCCTCCACTCTGTGAAACATTGCCTGGTATGCAGTAGCAAAAGGGATGACATGGAGAAGCTGAACATCAGTTTAGGGGGACAGTACCTTGAGAAGGAGAATGTCATTAGAAGGCCTAGGCAAAGCAGGCGCAGAGGAGCCCAGCTATGGATGTGGAGAGAGAGAAGAAAGCTTGTCCTCTGCCTCTCCATCTCTTTCTATAGCCCACTCAAGTGCCAGGATAAACAGGGCCTTGGGAGGTCTTCTAATCCATTCCCCATGTCCTACTGTATTGCAGTCTTTCCTGCTAGACTGTTAGGCATGTGAAATCGGGGCCAGCGAGATGCAAAGCAGTTGCACGGTGCTCTGGGCTGTGTGCTGGGAGGAGATGAGGAAGTTGAGGTCTTTGAAGTAGCCAGTGGTGACTGTGGTGCTGCCAGCCATTGTTGGAGGAGGAAGGCTTGTGGGTGGTTGTGGAGTGCTTGTAGTGCCCTGGGAGCGAAATAGCTGGTCTGATCCTTTCCTGTTCCTTCTCCCTCCAGCTGCGCTCCTCCAGCAGATCAGCGTGCTGCAGCCTTCCCACATCCTGGATGGAGCCTCCCGGTTAGTATCCAGCCAGCCAGCTCGTAGCTATTAGGGAGTGAGGGTGTCTTGTGACTGTCCCTGCTTGTGAGGTCTGAGATGCTCACAGCAGCAGTTTGGGAGCTGCCTGGCATCCAGGATACCAAGAGAATCCAGTGCTCTGCTCCATGACCCTACTGCATCTGTAATGAGAGGCTGACATTTCCATGAAGTACCAGGTCCTGCAGCAACAGAGCTAGGGCATTCCAGGCCAATTAAAACATTGGGTTGCTCTCTTTTCCTGCCATTTGCTCTCTGCACTCCAGCCAGATAATCTCCCCCAGAGGTTTGGTTGGGTTTCACCTGTGCCTCATCCCTGGAATGTGCTGCCATCCCTGCTGCAATGATTATAAAACCTTGGCTTTGGGATTTTTGGTTCTGCTCCTGCCTCAAAGAGTCTGTGTGGTGTTTGTGTGTGGTCCCTGTCAGGCAGAGCAGTGCTTTGCTTCTGTTATCTGTTAGTGGTGCTTCTTGCAAGGGAGTCTGCAGAGGCGGGAGTGTGGTAGATGGGGTGGGAGCTTGCTCTGTTCTGGCTACAGGAAAGATCTGAAAAGTAATTAGTACAGTTGCAGGGTCAGTCCTTTGAGGAGTGAAGCCTTTCAAAGGGCCCAAATTAGTCAGGCTTGAAGAGCTTTTGTTCCCTTTTCCATGCTGTATCTATAGCCTACAATGTTTCAATCCCATACACGTGTGGATGTGTTCTCTCTCCTGTAGGCTGCAGGAGGATCCAGAGGGCATGAAGATAGACTTCAATGTGTATCAAGCAGATGCTGTGGCCAAGTTTAAGAAGACAAACCCTGGGAAGCCGTATGTCAGGATGTGCGTTCGGAGGTATCCATGAGCCTTATGCTGTATTATGAAACGTAGCAGTTGCTGTTGCAGAAATAAAGTCCTAATGATCTGTAAATGACCCAGCATCTTGTGAGCTTTACAGATCATCAGAGTGCCTCCCTTGAGGGTGATCCTACCCAGAATATTTTTTTTTTCTTTCAGTTCCTCTGTTGGAGGCTGTGGCTTACAATTTCCCCAGCCCTTGCATTCAGCTCACACTGTTTGGTCATCTGGTTGCTGCTCATGTCTGAGTATTACTGGAGTCAGGAGTAAGAAGCCACGGCTCTATTTATGCAATGCTTGTGAAACTCATGTAGAGCAAAGTTTTGCAGGTAGCTGTATGGTACCCGAATCATCAGCCAGTGCAGATTCCTGTGGGACCTCCCTACAAGGTCAGGGCCATGGGTTTAGTATTTTGATCTTTGTCAAACGTACCTTTAAGATCAGTATGAACGTAGGATAAGTGTCCCCTTTCTTGCTGGATCCAGGATCTGATACTTTATAGGCAGGTACAAAGTTCAGTTTCTGGCTTTTCTGATTTTGATATATACTAAAACTATCCCTCCTCTACTCTCTGCAGCTGTAGTAGCCAGAGCAAGGAAGGTGGTACTGCAGTTTTACAGTAGGATGATCCTTGCTTTACAAATCTTTTCATTTACAAGTGAACGTACTCTGAAGAAGTAAAAGGAGGGAAAAGCAGGTCTGATGTTGATCCCAGCAACCTAAAGATCTTCGTAGCACAAAGGTATTAAGATTGCACTGGATTGGCAATTTGCAGGGAGCCCTGTGAGCCGCATCCAGTGGGCACAGTGTGGAGCAGTGCGCAGTTGCCCTTGCTTTTGGCAAAGGATTGGACAGCTCCAAGTTCCCGGCGTGCAATGTACTATCTCAGGGCTGGCAGCCTCCTGCTTTGACTGGAAGACATGGGGAGGGTCACTACCAAGTCCTAAGACCAAAGTGAGCTGTTGTGATCGTTGGCCAGGACAGCTTTGTCTGTGTATTCTTCTTGCTTTGAGAACAACGGAATATTTTTCTCTCTGCAGCTTTGACGAGGAGGTTCCATCCCTTCGGGCTTTGAAGCAAGTTACATATCAGAGTGGGGATGTCCCAGTGGTCTTCGCACTGGTGGATCACGGAGAAATCGCCTTTTATTCGCTAAAGGAATTCAAGCTGCCAGTTGATGTTAATGACTGAAGTTGCCGTTGCTTGCAGAAATGGTATGGGATGAAGGGAAGAGCTTTACTCAGGATTTGGTTTCTTGATTAATGAAATATTACAGAAAATAGAGCCTGTGATAACTGGAACCTTGGGTAGTTGACCACTTTATTGCCTGTTACAGACTTCACCTAACTAGATGGCTCAGGCAGAATAGCAAAATCTACAACAAACAAGTGTTCATGACTTAGCTGGGCATTTCTGAACTGGAATACACACTGCTTCGTTCTTGAAGCCACTGGTTCTCCAGCTTTCTCATCTCATGGACCACTAGTCTACCTATTCCATGTCATCTAGCTGACCTGCGGACCATTAGAAAACACTTCACTGGTGATCCTCTTGTCACATGTTAAGAACCACTGTGCTACACCAGTCAAATGGTTGGAGAGTCACTGAGGTCAGTCAGGGACAGCATAAGCTGATCAGATCAGTGGTGGTGTCCTGAGCCCCTGTCATTCATCTGTGCCAACAACTGTCAGATCAGATTCTGATCTGAAAAAGGCACAGCCATAAAACTCAGCCACCCAGAGTAAAGTTTCCCGAGAGCAGGAAACTGTGCCTTTAACACTGTTTCATCAGTCAGAGGTCACAAAAAGCCCCAGAGAATTGCAGATGTTACCTCAGTCTCATGTTGCAGTGGCTGCACTGAGATGCATTTTGACCACACAGTGTTATGCCATACTAAAGTTTGGCCACTGCTGTCGGCACACTGTAGCTGATAGTCTCACCAGGGCTGTACTGCAGCCCCCTCTGTTTCACCCTGACGTCTTCTTTCCTGGCTGTGGATCTGTGTCTTTTCTTTTGCAAGTGAGAGATCCCTGAGTAAAGAAGCTCCAAATTCCTCCATGAGCCTTCCAGTCCTATGGCTGTTGTGCTCCAGATGGAGGACATCATTGCTTTCCAGGCCCTGCTGTGGAAGCTTTCCACCAGGATATCCATGTACCAAATCTGCTTTAGCCTCTATGCAAAAGTACCAGTGACAGGTGCCAGAAAGTCTGCTCAGTGGACAGAAGTGTGCTGAGCATGGCTGTGTTTGGTATCGAGGTTCTTCAGAACTGTAATAGCAACTGGCTTAGATGCTTTTTATTTGATAATTTTTGAGTTCCTTTTGGAGATGGGGAGAAGGCAAAGCAATAAAAAAGCCTTTTCCAACAGTATGAGCTCCTCAGTGTGGTTCTTAATTCCTGCAGAAATGTTAAGTTATGCAGAGGGAGACACTCCTGGGGAGGCTACTGGGACTCCAGGAGCACCAGCTGATGAGCGCCTGGTCATGGTCATACAGCCCTGTGGCTGCGTAACCAAACTCCTACACCCATCTGTGTTTGCGTCCAGCTGCTGCCCCCTTCCCTGGGAGGGCAGTGTGACTCAGAGCCTGGAGGAGTCCCTACATCCGTGTGCAGTTCCTGCTGGCACAGGACACCTTGCCGTCTTCCTGCTGCGTGGTCAGAGGTATCGTAGCCCAAGGTGGCAGGGATCTGCTGCAAGTACTACGCCTGGTCCTGTTTCACATACACGCCCCTGTTATCAGATGCTGGAAGTCTGAGGTGAGGGTCTGACAGCTCCTCCCACACGCTCTCCCCTTCCTCTTCCTCCCTCCTTCGAGCAGTGCTTTTGCTCTTACAGTGCTTTTGAAACGCTGGGGTTGTTGGCAGCTCCAGTCTGTGCCCTCAGCATTCTCCCAGACTGTTTTGCAGATTAAAGGCAGTGGGAAGAGAGTTTCTAAGAACAGGCACAGCCAGAAGAGCTCCAGTCTGACCCACAGGGCTCACATTTGGCCTGAAACTAGGTCAAACTCACTGCTGTTGATTTCAATCAGTCTCATCTGCTTATGCCAAGGTGGAATTGTATCAATGAACTCTACGAGAGCCACCCAGTGAGTTTCGCTGGGGCAGAGACTCCCTGATTCAGCACAAAACAATTACAATTTAATAACCACTGCAGGGAGGGTTGAGAAACTGTGGCTGCCTTGCTCAGCACCACAACATCTGACAGTGCCTTCAGCAGATGGGATTATGATGCAGACTGATACCACCGCTTCATTTTGGCCCATGATGTGGGTCGGCTAGATGTTGCAAGAGGACGACAGAAACAAATATTTTAATTGAAAATGATCACTTTTGGAATGTTGGCTGTTACTGGCCCCTCATCAGAGGTAATTTCAGGCTTTTGGCAGACCTTGAAGTGCCAGTGCGCTCCACCTCACTACCCTCCCCCCTCCCCCAGCCGTTGTTCCCTGCAGTAGGACACAGGCTGGCTGCAGCTGAGCTGCGTAGCAAGAGAGCCGCAGTTGTGTGGCTCGTTCCAACTAAGCCTTCAACTTTCCGTTAAAGTCTTTCCATCTCTTTCTTTTTTGCTCCCGATGGCAGGTTGGTTGGCGCTTCCCTTCAGCTGCGCACCAGGTCCCTGCCCCTCGTGGGAACGGAGCCG